AATGCCCCCGTAATGATGCCCCTCGCTCGTTTCCGCCTCCGAGATGCATAACGGAGGGATGTTGAATACGTGTGCGAATATATATGTGTATGTGCGTGTATATATATGTGTGTGTGTGTGTGTGTGTGTGTGTGTGTGTGTGTGTGTGTGTGTGTGTGTGCGTGCGTGCGTGCGTGCGTGCGTGCTCGACCTTGTATTTGCTTGCCTGTATCTGACTGTCTTTATGCGCGGGTGTGCTTGAGTTTGAGTGTAGGCTTCTGTATGTGTTTACATACTCATGAAAGATGAAGAAAGTTACTAGGGCGCTCACTTAACTGTAAGTAGCAGGCATATTTTCTTCGCAGTCCGTTTGCAGTTTTGCATAATTGCAACATTGTCAGTTCACGGCTCAAGACTCTTCCTCCGTCAGCGCCTTATGTGTGGCTTGAGGGTGCGGCGCTGGCAGGAAGTTGACGCCGCAGGTAGTTGCAATAATGGCTGCCTGAGAAGTTGCTTTTTGTCCTCGCTGCCGCGGCCACAAGGCGTCGAGAAGCAGGGCTTGAGATGAGGCAGGGAAGGATCACTTGTTAGCGTGTAGATTGTTTTTTTCCCTCTCTTTTTTAAGATGGACGGATCGGTCTCTGACATGGCGGAGTATGGGAAATGTCCTCTGAAAGTTTTGCTCAATTGATGTATTGATGATGTGCGTGTTGCCGCGTTGTGTATCGTGTTGGTTTGCTTTGTTAAGGATTATATTGTATTTTTAGAGAGGAGAAGGAAAGAGAAAGAGGAAAGTTCCATAACTAAATTCAAGGTCGTACAATGTATCGATAGGAGTGGCAGAGATGACATACAGTCTAGAGTTTCGGTGCAGATGATAGTTAGTCATGCAGGTAATTGCAGTCTCTCACTCGTAATGACGCCGCAGTTACTTGCAGTTACTTACCGTTTCATTATCAGTCATGCGAGTCTCTTAGCAAACAGATCACTAATCAATATATTTTTTCTTCTGTTGCAGATGATGGACGGGTTGCATTAATGGCCGGTTCGTGGCGCCTGACGCGTGCATGGTATTCATCCCAGGGGCAGGAAGCGCCATGCAGTTCCTTGACACGATCATGCACGTCATAGACCAACTCGACCGGGTGTAAAACAGGAGCTCCAGAGTCCTCTGCAGCAAGTGATGTGAAGGTTGCGGTCCTCCAAGCAGCGCCGGCGAGAGAACGAGGGCGAATCGGCAGCAAAGGCAAGCAGCATGACCACTAACACGCAGGGGTCGCGAGGGACGCCAGCGGAATTGAGTCGCATTCTCAAGAAAGTCAAGAATGTTCTGGAGGATCAAAAGAGCAAGTCGCCGGACTGGAGGTCATCGTCGGCGGACTCTGATGCGAAGGATGCCGACCTGTCCGTGCGGGACTCCGCAGGACACCTGGACGACGTCAACGAGGCATTCGGCGCTTGCCAGACGGTGGAGTGGAAGGAGCAGGAGTACCGCTACCTCCGGTCCAAGCTGATGGGCCACAGAAGGCGGGACGCGGCCAACGGGTCGAGTGCCATGCTGCTTGGGAGCGCCACCCTCCCCGCCGTGCACAAGGCGCTGCTGAGGTCCCTCTCCACCCCCGACCCGCCGCAGGTCGAGCCGCGCAGTTACAAGTCATTCCTGCGGCAGCGGCGGGCATCACTTGCCCTCGAGGCCGACCCGCCAGGATCTTGCGGTTGTGGAGTCAGAGACGCCAAGAACAGGAAGCGCAGAAGTGAAATAATAGCCAAAGATGTGAAGGGAAAGATATCGCTCGAGCGCGAAATAGCATTGATGAGAGAGATGTCAAACCCCGAATGTGCCAAAATCGTTTCTTTCGTCAAGTCCAGCGCCTGGGCCTCTCGAGAGTCTATTCTGTCCACGACTTCCCGAAGTTTCGAGTCCAGTGAGGAGGACGCTATAAGTGTTGTGCTGAATACCAGCGTCGTGGGGGAGTCCTCCGAAGAAGAAAGTCAAAAGCGCCAGTGTTTGCAGCGATCAGTGTCGGAGGAGACGCTGATCTACCAGCAGGAGGGCACCTTGGAGAAGCCACAGGAACCAAGCGGAGATCAAGGTTCCAACCATGAGTGCGAGGGCAAGCACGCCCTGGGCGACTCCTGCTCTTGCTGTCAGGGAAGTCCTTCGTGCCTCAAGGATGACCCGGGAGGGAGCAGCACACAGCGGTCCACCACGTCGATGAAAAGCATTTTCGACTCCATCCCTCATATCGACTCCTCCTCCGAGGACGAGGGCGAGGACTTCAGGACGAAAACGGTCGGCACGGTTCCTAGTCCCGCGTCGACGCCCGAAAAGCATACCAAAGATTTCCCACCGGAATGCCCTCCTCTGTGCCTGCCCGAGGAGGACTTCGATACCAACAGCGCTGACGATTGCCAGGCTGAGGCCGAGTGTCACGACGCCGACCAGCTAACGTCATCCCAGACTAAAGGTAAGAAAGTCCATTATCGTGTAGTCTCTGGGTATTTCAAGTCCACAAGATGACTTTATCTCTGGGGCTGATTAGTTATCGCCTTTCCGGCCTAGTTAGAACGGGTAATAGACATGCAAGCAGAATAGTTAATTGTCAAGAAAGCATAGCAACCGACGGCAAGAGGCGGGGCGCAGGTAAAACATCTTGCAGCGTAGAGAGTGAAGTTGCCATGAATCCCCCAGAGGTACTGTAAAGGAGCCAGCCACTTTCACCGCTCGTTGCCGCCACTTGCAATTACGGCGCTTAGTGTGTCGCTGGTCGGGGAGGCAAACGTCTCCTTAATTCACATCTCGACCTAATCAGCGACAAATCCAGACAAGGCCGGGAAATGGTGTCGCCTTGATGTTCGCACGCTTTCAGTGCGCGTTTGTTTTTGCGAGCATGATCAGCTGTTTTGTTCCTTGCGTGACAAAATACTGGGGTTGTTAAAAAGATTCATGTCAATATGAATGTATCTAAACAAAAACAAAACATACATGCACGCATACGCGTACTCACACTCACACGCACGCACGCATTCACTTACTAGTTCATTCATTCACTCACTCGCTAGCTTACTCACTCACTCAATCATTCATTCACTCACTCGCTAGCTTACTTACTCACTCAGTCATTCATTCACTCACTCGCTAGCTTACTCACTCAATCAATCATCATTCATTATTCATTATTCACTCACTCACTCACCATCATCCACTACACACACTCACTCACTCACTCACTCACCACTCACTCACTCACTCACTCACTCACTCACTCACTCACTCTTCCTCTCTTTCTCTCTCTCTCTCTCTCTCTCTCTCTCTCTCTCTCTCTCCTCTCTCTCTCTCTCTCTCTCTCTCTCTCTCTCTCTCTCTCTCTCTCTCTCTCTCTCTCTCTCTTCTCTATCTATCTATCTATCTATCTGTCTATCTTTCTATCTATCTTTATCTATATATATCTATTTGTGTATTTTGTTTTTATCTCTCCTCTCTATCTATCTCTCTCTCTCTCTCTCTCTCTCCTCTCCTCTCTCTCTCTCTCTCTCTCTCCTCTCCTCTCTCTCTCTCTCTCTCTCTTCTCTCTCTCTCTCTCTCTCTCTCTCATATATATATATATATATATATATAGATATATAGATATATATATATATTATATATATATTTATATCTATATCTATCTATCTATCTATCTATCTATCTCTTCTTTCTTTCTCTCTCTCACGAAACGAACACCTAAACAAAAACTTACCGGCGTCGCGAAGCCAAGACAGTGGGCGTATAATCATCGTCTCCAGGCAACAGAGAGAAACCGTCGGAGAAGCATCACCGCCTTGCTTCGTCGGGACTTTCAGCTTCTGTTTTCGTTTATTTTTCTATTTTATTGTTTGATTTTTTTTATTTTAATTTATTTTGTTTATTGGTTTATTTCTCCCTTTCTCTCTCCCTTCTTCTTCTTTTCTTCTTTCTTCTTCTTCTTCTTCTTCTCTTCTTCTTCTTCTTCTTCTTCTTTCTTCTTTCTTCTTCTTCTTCTTCTCTTCTTCTTCTTTCTTCTTCTTCTTCTTCTTCTTCTCTTCTTCTTCTCTTCTTCTTCTTCTTCTTCTTCTTCTTCTTCTTCTTCTTCTTCTTCTTCTTCTTCTTCTTCTTCTTCTTCTTCTTCTTCTTCTTCTTCTTCTCTTCTTCTTCTTCTTCGGTCAGTAAGTCCCAGTGAAACGACTCGTTAAATGTACGTTCTTAGAATAATGATGTTAAATATATTAGTGAATAGCGGAGGTGTAAATGTCGCGGATAATATATATATATATATTTTCCTTGTTTTTTTGTCACTTGTTTTCTCTTTTCGTTTTTATCGCGTGGGGTGATTAGAGATTAATTTGGGTATGAAAGATTAAAAATTTTCTTTGTCATTGTTGGTCTTTCTTCTTTTTACAGGTTCTTCATTATTATTTGAACAAACGGGTAGTTAATTAAGCGAAAATGCGAAGGTAATTACGCTTATATTCATGGTCATTAACTCCCGTCTTCCTCATTCGGCTAATCTTAGACACTAATTAACAATTGTCTCTGCTAATGACATACAGATTCGCAACCTTCTATACTACTTTTTCTTATCCCAAAAGTTTCTGTCCTCGGTGCCTGCATCTTTACAACATATACTCCTCCTTCAACAAGGGCGTGGGCGAGGACTTCGGGATATAAAACCGGTCGGTCACACGGGCGTTTTTTTTTTTCTTGTTATTCTCATATTTTTTTTATTTTCTAATCATATAATTCTGGTTCATCTGTCTGTATATATATTTTTTTATATATCATATCTGTTATTATTTTTTTATACTATCTTATATTGTTGCATCTGTTCATATTAATCTGTTTATTATATCTATATATAATATATTTTATTCATGTCTATCTAATCTATATCTGTTTATATATATATTATCTGCTCATCTATTTATATATATTATATATCTGCTCATCTATCTATATATCTATCTCATCATATATCTCTCATCTATATCTGTATCTATCCTATTTTATATATGAATCTATCTATCTGTATGTCTATCTATCTATGTCTCTTTTGCTCTACTCTCCCTACCGCTGCACGTGTTACGAACTCCCCGTCACGTGGCCTCCGTCACACTTCTTCGAGGCCTTCAAAGTCGTGCTAATTACTCGCGCTCGTTGACATACTCTGTCTTGACCTCCAAAAGCCTCATGATAAGAGCCGATTTAAAGGTATTTTGACGATGAGGTTTATGATCAGTGATATTACGTGGATTGCCATCTTTTTAAGTGACGCTGAAGTGGCAGGGCGCAATTTTTTTTAAAAAGTGTCGTGGTATTAAGCTTACGTAATAGAGGGTTAAGTAAGAAACCGTTATTATGCGGAGCCGCCACGGGTAGCATGACGGTTCCATCACGCGGCGAAATGATTGTCATTTCACGTTATCTCGCGCTGGGTTTTTAACGCAAAGGGAGCCAGAAAAACAACAATAAATTCACACAATGAACGAGAACGGCATAACGAGGATGCCGTGTGGATGCCGTTACGGTTCGCGGATAACGAAGTGAAGCCGTTAAATTGCGAGATAGGTTGATAAGGAGGTGAGTCGGACGCGGATTTCTCTCTCAAATGGAGGTTCCCACAGTTCGCTCGTTTAGGCTGTGCGACGCTCGTTAGAAAGGTCGTCGTTATTTTATTTTCCTATTTGAACAGGTGTGCAGATTTTCTTCCGTTTTTTTTTGTTTGTGCCTATTTATCAAATATTTTTTGTGTTCATTAGTTTTGTTTTTGTTTTTGTTTATTTTTCTTGTTTTTACTTACTTTCCCTGTTCCTATTGCGCCGCTGCCTCCTCCTCTTTCCCCCTCTTCTCCTCCTCCTCCCCTCCCTCCTCCATCCCCTTCCCCCCTCCTCCTTCCCCCCCCCTCTCCCTCCCCTCTCCTTCCATTCCCCTCCTCCCTTCCTCCCTCCATCCCCTTCCTCCCCTTCCTCCTCCATCCCTCCTCCCCTTTCCTTCCCCTCCTCTTCACTTCCTTTCCTCATCCCTCCTCTCCTCCCTTCTTCCCCTTCCCTCTTCACCTTTCCTCCCCTCCCTCTCTCCCCCCTTCCTTCCTCCTCTTCCCCTTCCTCCCCTACCCCCTCCTCTTCCCCTTCCTCCCTCTCCTCCCCCCTCCCTTCCCTCCCCTTCCCCCACCCCGCACATCCGGACCGGCGACGACACCCTCGCGGCGACACACACGAGGCCTGCCAACTCATCCTCCATCACGAATACATTACGCGTCCCCGTTGATACCATCTTCTTAGGCGTGTGTCATTTTTTTTCGTCCCGCTTTTTTTTTTGTGGTCACTGACCCTTATGTCGTGGGCGTAAAGCGCCGCGCCGCGCCGCCGCGGATCGTGGGGCCCAATCATTGAAAAAAAAAAAAAAAAAAAAAAAAAAGAGAGAGGGGGAGTGAGAGTTTAAAGGGGAGATCCAAGGGTGGTGGGCGTTGAGGAAAATGTGCTTGTGTGTGACATTGCATAGTGCCTGTCTTTATATGTTTGTTTGTATATATACATATTGTACACATATGTATTATATACAAATATGCATGCCACACACACACCACACACACACACACACACACACACACACACAACACACACACACACACACACCACACACAACACACACACACTTTATATATGTATGTAGTGTTGTATGTATGTATGTTGTATGTATGGTATATGTATATATGTACATATATGTATATAAATGATGTTTATATCTAGCATTATGTATATATGAAAATATATTGTTATTTTAAGTTTATTCATAGATACCATGGCTATATTTGCGTAACTTTCTCATAGATATAGATGTATATGTATATTAGGATATGTGACATTGAATGTCTGGTTTGGACATGAGGAATATACCAATACATTTCTCTTCTTTAATGAATGCTGTACATTAGCATATTTTTAGATTTAATTTACTCGGTAAATTTATCTCGCATCAAAAGGTCAACGAAATTAATATTCTAATCTTCGTGTATACATAGCGTGTTCAAATACACAAAGTAATTAAGGTAATTTCCCTCTTCTACTCCTTCATCTCTCTCTCTCTCTCTCTCTCCTCTTGCCTCTTCATATCTCTCTCTCTCTCTCTCTTTTCTCATTCTCTCTTCTCATCCTTCATCTCTCTCTCTTGTCTTCATTCACTTCTCTCTCTCCTTTTCTCTCTCTCTCATCCTCACATACATACCTTCTTAATTCTCCTCCTCTCTAATTCCTGTCTCCTTCTTCTCTTATTCTCTCTCTTCCTCCTCTCTCTGTTCTCTCTCTCCTTCGTATTCTCTTCTCTCTCTCTCTCTTTCTCATGCTCTCCTGATTTCCTTCCTCATTCCATCCTCTCTTTATTCTTCTCCTTCTGTACGTCACTCACTCGTTATTATGTCAATAGAACTAGCTACTTTCAGTTTTATTTCTATCAAGTCTCTCTCTCACCTTATTTCTCCTTCTTTTCTATCTCTTCTTCTATCTTTC